TGTGTGTGTGTGTGTGTGTGTGTGTGTGTGTGTGTGTGTGTGTGTGTGTGTGTGTGTGTGTGTGTGTGTGTGTGTGTGTGTCACAGTGTGTGTGTGTGTCTGTGCGCCCGCGTGTGTGCGTGCGTGTTTGTTTACGTGAGGGTACATCGTTTATTCTGAAGGTGTTGGTATTGCAAATAGCTTTGGAACTTAAAACACGGATTTGCCTTCAGGATGTGAACAGGTAGCCCCAAAGTCAAGTCCACCATTAGAGGCACAGGCGTCAAGTTTTGACAAAAGAAGAAAAATGAAAAAAGAAAACCGGGGGCAACACAAGACATCCAGCCAAGTTAAGAATCGCTGGCGACCGACTCCCAACGTGAGACCACTGAGACGCATGTTTTGCATGTCTCCACTGCTCTCCAGTAGTCCACGTGGGTCATTCATCAGACTGGAGTAGTGCTTGGCTTCCTTGCTCGAACGCGTGTATAAATTAGGTAGGGAGAAAGCTGCACACCTGGCCTGCTCAAACACGTGTGAAGTTCGATAGGGATGAAGGTCGATGAAGCTGCAACAATTCTACGTAGGCAAGTTCGATAGGGATGAAGCTGCAACAATTCTACGTAGGCCATCCATTTTGTTGTGGCTCTGAGCTGACGATCATATTGACTATTGAGGTCAGTCGTATGGAGACCCAGAGAGTCAGAGAGTCAGAGACTAGAACACGTGTTTTAGCAGGCCCATCCACTGACTGACCTTGAGATCATTTTGTTGGTGGCTCTGAGCTGAGAGTCAGAGAGCAGATTGAAAACGTTGAGGTCACTTGGTGAAGAAGTCTGGATGGAGACCTAGAGAATTGAACACGTGACCTGACCGACCCATCCACTGACTGACAAGACTCACTCAAGCTTTGGCTTCACGTTCGACCTTCAGGTCCTTCACGGAAGGCTTCACCTATGGTAGCTCTTGGGTGTCCTTAAACGGAATTAAAAAGAAAAGGAAAAGGAAAAGGCTTTGCTCTCCCCATTCCCCTATCTTTCACCCTCTTTCACTAGATCAGTTGTTTGCTTTCATCTACTCATTTCTTCGCTAAGCCTTTCGCTTTATTATTATTTTTTTCTTTTTCTTTTCCCCAGAAAATGCCCAGGCTGTTGTATAGTTCGGACTGGGGCTTGCGCTTTAGGTCCGTTTATTAATTTCACTTTTAGTTCATCATTTTCTCTCGTTTTTCGCACCCTCAGCTATATTAACTGTCATGCCGAGGGTCTGTTAAGTATAAGTTAACTGTATAACGTCTCTCTCTCTCTCTCTCTCTCTCTCTCTCTCTCTCTCTCTCTCTCTCTCTCTCTCTCTCTCTCTCTC